AAAGCAGTGTGAAAGGCACCCCAGGTTGGAGAACTAGGGAATGTCACAGAAACACACTGTACAGTTGAATTTTGTTTCCTTTTACTATTAATGGGAATGAGCTATATTAAATTCCTTTTAAAAACAATGGCCTGACTTTACTGCAAGCGGAAGAGTCCACGCCAGGATTCTGAATTTCTCAAATGTTTTTATCTTCAAATAAGATCCTACTATAGTGCTTACTTCTATCAATGTATTCCCTTTTTGATTGCTGAGTCAGAGACCAAGATTACTTGCTTCTTCTAATGGCTTCTCCACATGGTGATGTAAATTTACACTCCAGCTTGCTGCACACTAAAATCGCTTTGGGGATAAGACTTTAGACTTGTTGATTTTTAAGGCCAGCGGGTACCATTAGATCATCTAGTCTGACCTCCTGGATAACACAGGCCAAAGAATTTCACCCAGTTAACCCTATATTGAGCACAATAACTTGTTTGGCTAAAACATCTTTCAGAAAGGCATCCACTATGCATTTGAAGACATCAAGAGATGAAGAATTCACCACCTCCCTTGGTAGATTGTTCCAATGGTTAATAACCCTCACTCTTAAAAATCAGTGCCTTTTTTCTAATTTGAATTTTTGTGTATAACTTTCAGCCATTGGTTCTTGTGCATTTCTCCACTAGATTAAAAAGCTCTTTAGTACCCAGTATTTTCTTCCTCATACATTGTAATCAAGTCATCTCAATCTTTTTGATAAGCTAAACAAATTAAGCTATTTAAGTCTCTCTCTCTAAGGCATGCTTTTCAGTTTTCAAAATAATTTTTGTGGCTCTTCTCTGCACTTTTCCAATTTTTCAAAACTGGTCATAGCATTCCAGAATTAGTCTCACGACTGCTGTATACAGAGGTAAAATCACCTCCCTACTCTACTCACTACTTTCCTGTTTATACACCCATGGATCCTATTAGCCCTTTTTGCTACATCACATTGGGATTTCATGTTGAATTTCTTGTCCATTATGAGCCCTAAATATTTTTCAGTCACTACTTTCCAGGATATAGGCCCCCATTCTGCAGGTATGGCCTGCATTCCTTGTTCCTACATGTATGACCTTGCATTTGTCTGTGTTAAAATGCATTTGTTTGAATAGGTCCAGCTTACAAAGTGATCCAGATTGCTTTGTATGACTGCCCTATCCTCATTAATTACCTCTCCACCAACCTTTGTGGCATCCACACATTTTATCAGCAGTGATTTTATATTTACTTCTGCATCATTGATGAAAACATTGAAAAGCATCAGGCCTAGTACTGAGCCCTGCAGAATCCCACCAGAAAACCCCGCACCTGATAATGATTCACCACTGACACTTCTTCCTGAGACCCATCAGTTAGTCAGTTCTTAATCCATTTAATATGTGCTTTATTGGTATTGCATAGTGGTAATTTTTAAATCAATGTTGCATAGTACTAATAAAAAGTCGAATATTACACCTATTATCTATATTACTCTTTGGTGGCTCCCTTTCAGTAATTGCCTTTTACTGACTGGATGGGCTGTCCGGTGTTTTGCCTTTGTTCCTTCTGATCTTCCTCGCAATGTCTTGTCAAGGGTGTAATGTATATGTCAGTTTCTAGGCTGCATGCTTCCACATGAATTGTCCCTTTTCTTCTTTTGCTGCAATACAGGTTTTTCTAAGGTACTTAAGTGGAGATTGTTCCATCTTCCTCCATAGCTATCCCACCGTTATTCTCAACCAGATCTAAGGGTACGTCTTCACTACCCGCCGTATCGGCGGGTAGCAATCGATTTATCCGGGATCGATATATCGCGTCTCGTTAAGATGCGATATATCGATCCCCGAACGCGCTCACCGTTGACTCCGGAACGCCACTAGAGCGAGCGGCGGTAGCACAGTCGACGGGGGAACCGCGGCCGTCGATCCCGCACCGTCTGGACCCCAGGTAATTCGATCCAAGATACTTCGACTTCAGCTACGCTATTCGCGTAGCTGAAGTTGCGTATCTTGGATCGATCCCCCCCCACTAGTGTAGACCAGCCCTAGGTCTTCCCTTTGTAATCCATTTTATAGAGTTTCTATTATTTCTCGGAGACTTCAGCTGGTGTCAGAGTCCCTCTACAATGGAGCTCTGCTTTGCATGTCATACATATAAAATAACCCTTTGGTGTAGTGCTTCATTATTGTCCACCTTAGTACCAACAAAAAACAGTCTATAGTCCAGTTGAGGATTCTTTCAAGCAATACTCTCTCGTCTGGTTGGAATCGTTCTGAGTCTGAGAACCCTGCTATCTTTCCACCTCAGGACCTGGCCTGTAAGCTGCTCAACAGGGTCACTGGGCCCTGACTTCTGCAAGGCTAATGTAGTGCCCAATTTTTAAAAAGGGAAGGAGGAGGATCCGGGGAACTACAGGCCTTACCTCAGTCCCTGGAAAAATCATGGAGCAGGTCCTCAAGGAACCAATTCTGAAGCACTTAGAGGAGAGGAAAGTGATCAGGAACAGTCAGCATGGATTCACCAAGGGCAAGTCATGCCTGACTAACCTAATTGGCTTCTATGACGAGATAACTGGCTCTGTGGATGAGGGGAAAGCAGTGGACGTGTTATTCCTTGACTTTAGCAAAGCTTTTGATACGGTCTCCCACAGTATTCTTGCTGGCAAGTTAAAGAAGTATGGGCTGGATGAATGGACTATAAGGTGGATAGAAAGCTGGCTAGATCATCGGGTTCAACGGGTAGTGATCAATGGCTCCACATCTAGTTGGCAGCCGGTATCAAGAGGAGTGCCCCAAGGGTCGGTCCTGGGGCCGGTTTTGTTCAATATCTTCATTAATGATCAGGAGGATGGCGTGGACTGCACCCTCAGCAAGTTTGCAGATGACACTAAACTGGGAGGAGTGGTAGATATGCTGGAGGGTAGGGATCAGATACAGAGGGACCTAGATAAATTAGAGGATTGGACCAAAAGAAATCTGATGAGGTTCAACAAGGACAAGTGCAGAGTCCTGCACTTAGGACGAAAGAATCCCATACACTGCTACAGACTAGGGATCGAATGGCTAGGCAGCAGTTCTGCAGAAAAGGACCTAGGGGTTACAGTGGATGAGAAGCTGGATATGAGTCGACAGTGTGCCCTTGTTGTCAAGAAGGCTAACGGCATTTTGGGCTGTATAAGTAGGAGCATTGCCAGCAGATCGAGAGACGTGATCATTCCCCTCTATTCGACATTGGTGAGTCCTCATCTGGAGTACCGTGTCCAGTTTTGGGCCCCGCACTACAAGGAGGATGTGGAAAAATTTGAAAGAGTCCAGCGGAGGGCAACAAAAATGATTGGGGGCTGGAGCACATGACTTATGAGGAGAGGCTGAGGGAACTGGGATTGTTTAATCTGCAGAAGAGAAGAATGAGGGGGGGATTTGATAGCTGCTTTCAACTACCTGAAAGGGGATTCCAAAGAGGATGGATCTAGACTATTCTCAGTGGTACCAGATGACAGAACAAGGAGTAATGGTCTCAAGTTGCAGTGGGGGAGGTTTAGGTTGGATATTAGGAAAAACTTTTTCACTAAGAGGGTGGTGAAGCACTGGAATGGGTTACCTAGGGAGGTGGTGGAATTTCCTTCCTTAGAGGTTTTTAAGGTCAGGCATGACAAAGCCCTGGCTGGGATGATTTAGTTGGGGATTGGTCCTGCTTTGAGCAGGGGGTTGGACTAGATGACCTCCTGAGGTCCCTTCCAACCCTGATATTCTATGATTCTATGGATCAGCTCAATCCACTGCTGTTCTAGCAGCTTCCACACAAAGCTGGAACCTAATGCTCTGTTCTAAAAAACCTGCCTTCCCCTCCACATGTACACAGCACTCTGCCAATAGCATCTGTACTATATTTAGCCTAAAGGCTTTCGGGAATAATTCTCTCAGGAATTTGCCCTAGTCATCTTTTGTTCACTGAACCACTTGTATAAAAGTATTCAAAAAAAGAGTATATAGTATTGGTGCGATCTCCCACATACAGATGTCTGTAAACTTCACATTTAGCCAATTCATTCATTGTAAAAATTAGTGTGTCCTCAAAAGAAGTAGGAAACACACATCATCAATCCTTCAAATAAGGACTGCAGCAACCTTGTGAGATCCCATCAGCAGACAAATACACACAATTGCAAGGATTATGTTCACATAAAACAGATGTGCACATCACACTGTCCTTCCGCTGCCCTGATGCACCTGTTCCCAAGAACCAACAGGAGGCTGACTTTAAGGCTAGGTCTACACTACCGGGGGGGGGGGGGGGGGGGGGGGAGGGGGGTGTCGACCTAAGATAGGCAACTTCAGCTACGTGAATAGTGTAGCTGAAGTTGCATATTTTAGGTCGACTTACCTTGCTGTGAGGACGGCGGCGAGTCGACCGCTGCCGCTCCGCCGTCGACTCCGCTTCCGCCTCTTGCCGCGGTGGTTTTCCGGAGTCGACGGCAGAGCAATCAGGGATCGATTTTATCGCGTCTTCACTAGACGCGATAAGTCGATCCCCAATAGATCGATTGCTACCCGCCGATCCGGCGGGTAGTGAAGACGTGCCCTGGGTCAGATTTGCACACAAATGATCAAACAGGATATCAACATCAGCAGCCCTCATTTTAGAGAGATGATAACTTTCCTGTATCGGGACCATAATGAGAAGCACAAGTGTGTGTAGGAGAGAAGAGATGGGAATGGTGACCAAATTGAGACTTCTCTATGGTAGTATCCCTTTAAAGTTTTCTGGACTATAGTTTTCATCCCTCTATGCTAACATGAACAGCCTGTCAGAGCAGAATTTTAAGAAGCTATGCATCTTAACTGTGGAAGCTCTAAAGGGAGAGTAGAGGGGAAAGCTGTACAATATCACAGTCAGCCTACAGCTAGTTGTATAAATAGTGCTAAATAATTGTCTTTTTGTACAAAAACAGACCACTTTCCAATATGCCTACACTGATGACCACACTGTGTTAAAGAGCAGGAATACCATTACTGATACACTGTGCATAGGAAGCTAGCAATCTTTGACAGAGGTTTCTCCAAAGCTAACCATTTGCTATGGTGCTGCAGTAGTTTTCTCCGCTTCTCTGGTTTCTTTCGTGGTGGCACTGAAGTGCCGCTTCCCATCTAAATACAACATGGACTCTGAAATGACAGGAAGAAAGAAAAGAGATAAGAGTATTTTTTAAAAAGGGTCACTTTAAAAACACAGCCTCTGGAGTCTACTGGGCATTATACAGAAGACCAAGTTTGAGAGGCAATATGAAATACATTTGCATTATGGCAGGGTATAGAATAAATACAGTTTAGCATGAAGGGACATTTTTTGTGTTACTCTACTAGTAGTAGTAGTAGTCTATTAAAAATTAAGTATGCTCCACCAGCAGACGGAAAATAGGTCTTTCCCTTCCAAGAACAAAGTTTTAATGAGATGCATTAAAATTGCCACTTACCACCATATGTTTTTGGGACAATCTGTGGTACCTCTCTTTCTGACATAAAAGTGAAATGGAAGATGTTGGTTGTCTTGTGCTCTCTGGTATCTGAATCATAAACCTCACTGTGTACTCTAATCTGGATATAGTTTTCTTCTGTATAACAAACCTAGACAGAACAGTGGACACAGTTATTATTTTATCATTTACACCAAAGAAAGGGGACAAGACGGAAGAAGAGTTAATTCCACCACTTTCATAACTCATTGTTCATTGCCAATGACTGATAATGAAGACGTCAAGCTGAATAAGCTTTATGGCTGTTTGAAAAGAGACCAACTCCTACCTGTGCAGAAAGCAGTAATAGGGATCCAATCTCAACTGGTCTTTGAAACATGATATCATCTACAGCTACTACATAAGGTCTGGAACCTCTGCAGAGAAAAAAAAGGCACTTAATATTCAAGAGCAGCTACTTGTCTCTGCACAAGTTGAAACAATTTCAATTATCTTTAATGCAAAATTTATCTGAAACTGAGCCACATAAATATAAAAAACAAGAAGAATTGCTAAAGAATACTGCCAGGGTGCCAAGAAGAAAACAAATACCCTGAGGGAATGCCAGCACAAAGGTGATACATGTACTCCTGCCACAGTACTGGCTCCCATCCTCTTCTACTACACCACATACTATAGCAACATTATGTACTAGAGCGGAGGTTCTCAAACTGTGGTCTGTGGACCACCAGTGGTCCGCGAGCTCCATTCAGGTGGTCCACGGATAGTTCCCTCTAAGGTGCGCGCCTGGGCAACCGCACACAAGAAAATGAAGGGCCACCCACCTAATTAGTGGAGCCGCGCAGGGGGTAGGTGGGAGGGGGCAGTGGGGTGAGAAGAGGGGGTGGTTGGAATTTGGGACGTGCAGGGCTGTGGCAGCCAGAGAAAGAGGCGACTTTCCCCAGCCCAGGGCTGCGGCTGCCAGGGAGAGACGGCCCTCCTTCCCAGCCTCAGCTCTGTGGCTGCTGGGGAGGGAGGGAGGGAGGATACCCCCCTCCTTCCCAGCCCAGCTTGGTGGCTGCTGCGGCGGGGGAGCCCCCCTTCCTTCCCAGCCCCAGCTCAGGGGCTGCCATGGCAGGGGAGGGGGTGGGAGAGGGAGAGACCCCCCTTCTTCCCAGCCCCAGCTTGGGGGCTCCTGCGGCGGGGGAGAGAGGGCACATCCATCGCATTAGAAAGGTAAGATTACTGATATTAAAATGTGAGTTGTGTGCTTTTATTTGTAGAACAAAAAAACGTTAATTATTAAAGTTTTTTAAATAGCGCTTTTCTCCAAAGGGCTTTACAATAGTTAGCTAATGGTACAAACAACATTTGGAAAGATCTAAGTGGTCCACCGAGACCCTCAGCAATTTTCAAGTGGTCCGGTAAAAAAAAAAAAAAAAGTTTGAGAGCCACTGTACTAGCGTCAAAACACAATTTTCTGCCACTTTTGGTTTGTCTAGTCCTCTTCACTCAGGCCTCATTCCTGCAAAAGCTTACACACGTGCTTAACTTTCAGTATATGTGTAGTCCCACAGACTTCAGTGGGGCTACTCATGTGCTTAAAGTTGGACAGGTTTGTAAGTGTTTGCAGGATCAGGGACCTAGTCTGGTTTCTAAGAGTAAGTGGCTGTAAGGTAAAGTTCATAAGCCATTCATCAAATCACAGATGTTACAAGATGTAATACCTACAAGAACCCATATTTGACATTTTTAGCTAGTGTGTGTATCTCCAAGAGTTAGTGATAGTAGCACAGAAAGGCAGTTTAAAAATAAAACAAAATTCCATCAGTTACATATTTTCCCAGAAACAGATTGTAAAATCTGAGCTTCAGGAGTCTGGTATGCAAATTTAGAGTTATTTTAATGAAAAGTGTGTTCTGACCCAGATTAGGCTAAAGTTACAGCTGATGTGCCCTGCTGTTAGAATAGCCACTCAAACATCAAACCCTTTTCTATCCCAACTACACATATTTTCCATTGACTGCTGAACTGTTATTTTGTAGGTCAGTTCCCCCTACCCCATTAATAAACACACAAAATGTTCTGGATTACACAAATACTGAAAACCTGAAACTCACCCATAGCTGCAGGCAGTAGCCCATCCCAGCTCAAATGCTTTCCTCATGAGAAACCCCCCGAAGATTCTATTGAAAATGTTTCGCTCCTGCATTTAGAAACACAAACAGCAAAGTGGCAACAATATGCATGTACTCACACAACACAGTGGTAAAGCCTGTCAGGTTCATTTGTATTCTTGTTTATAGGATTATACATGGCTCCTATAATGAGTATTTGGCAACTGTACAGCACAATTAAAACATATATAGAAGTCTAAATGATTCAGCGTGCTTACTTCTTAAGAGCTCAACTCATCCAAAACAAAATGGACTGGGGGGAGGGATAGCTCAGTAGTTTGAGCATTGGCCTGCTAAACTCAGGGTTGTGAGTTCAATCCTTGATGGGGCAATTTAGGGGTCTGGGACAAAAAAAATAGTTGGGGATTGGTCCTGCTTTGAGCAGGGGCTTGGACTAGATGACCTCCTAAGGTCCCTTCCAACCCTGATATTCTCTGATTCTATGGAAAAAAAAAAATTTGTGGTCAGCCCATCTTAAACACACTCTGAAGAATCTGTCAGGTGTTTTCACTTTTGTATTTGTACTACTGGAATTGTACATTTGCTGAGTCCTAAAGGTAAACCTTTGTAACTTTAGGGTTTGCATTGTACAAATCTGTGACCCTAGCTGATATATTCAAATGCTAATTTTAAAAGAATCTTATTCATGGCAGACAAAAGCTGTTAAAACAATATGAACTGTTCAGTCAAAATCTTGTGCTCTCAAATTAGACTAACTAGGGTTCCCACCTTTCTAATGGCCGGTAATCAGACCCCCGAGGCCCCGCCCCCTGCTCTGCCTCTTCCCCCCCAGATAAAAAAAAAAACAGACATCAGGGCTTGTTAAATGGCACCCAGATACACAAGCCGAAACCCAGACCGTCTGGGTGAAAACTGGATGGGTGGCAACCCTAAGACTAACACTGATGGATACTGTCTCTTGATCAACTCCCATTGCTCTCAGGTGTCTGTGGAGGAGTTTCTTTACATAAGATATCTCTTCTGATAAATAAAAAGAAATGCTAAAAGTCTTACATTTAGAACTATATTTAAACGTCAGAGTAAAAAACAAAAAAAGCCTAAGTTAAATGTCTTAGATCCGCCAACCTTAAAGATGATTCATAACTCATTCATTATGACTTTTGTAACACATTAGTATTCCTTCAAATACCTGAGGATGGCAGATCTCCAAGCCCTTAAGTTTTGCATCTTCCATCCATACTGAATTGGGTGGTAGCACACGACTCCGAAAACTTACAGTCCTGTAGAAATAAGGGGGTTTAGGCAATACACTCAATATCCAGCTTTAGCAGTGCTCAACAAGCTACAACCGCAAAAATAGAAAAACCACTTGTGTGTGTACGCACACCAAGCAAGCCAGGATTCAAATGGAAAAAATGGAAGAAACATATGCTGTTTCTGACAGACCTCGAAAACCACAACTTGATTAATGCAAGTGTCTAGTCTAAGGCCATGGTCCTTCAAACATGTATGCTCATATTTAACTTTAAGTGGATCATTTCAGTGGGACTGTTCACATGAGTAAAGTTAGGCTCTAATGCTCAAAATGTTTATGCATGTGTTTATGGGGGAACCATTGCTCATAAGACCATAAAAGCCTCTCAAGTATCCTGACCTGAAAAATTTAACTAGCAAAAAACCCCAGCCAACCATAAAAATCCATTCTACACTCCCTAAGCAAGTCCTTCACCTTTTTATTAGGGCAGCGGTTTTCAACCTGTGGTCCGTGGACCCCTGGGGATCTGCAGACTATAAGATTTCCAAAGGGGTCCGCACCTACATTCAACATTTTTAGGGGTCTGCAAATGAAAAAAGGTTGAAAACCACTGTATTAGGGTATAAGAAGATGCAAAATGTCAGATGAATTAATCAGATACATAATTTAAGATTTGCAAATTTGTCTAGGGGATTTACACATACATCTGCTAATTTTAAATGGAAGATGTGTCTAAATCCACTAAGTAGTCTTGAAAACGTCAACCATGTTAAAAACTAATTTTAAGATATTGGAATAAATAAGAGCTCCTCTAATGTTATTTCTATAGACATTACAGAATTTTCTTGTGTACTGTTATTCCTGCTTTGTATTAATAAAGTTAGTTCAAGACTGGCTCTGTGTGAGTGCAAGTGTCTAACTCTGCAGCTGCTCCTTCAGAAAGCTTAAAGATATAAAAAAAACAAACCCAAAAATACTAATGGTAATAAAATGTTTCCCTTACCCTTTTTTGTCCTTCCCTTTCCTCCTCTCTCTCACTTCACTTTCTGTATCTTACTTTGAGTTTCCTGCTGTCTTTCCAGAGTCTCGTTTCACTTCAGATTAAAAATATTACTAATTGTACAAGAATTATATTTTCAGCTTTCTTTTCCCTCTGTTATCATCCCTTCACTTCTTAATCTTTTCTAATTCTGCCACTTTTCAGATTATTTGCCCCCATCGCATTTTTTTAAATCTTTCATTCTGGTTTTCTTGTCTAGAAATCATAATCTCTCTGTGTCTCTATTTCCCAGCCCCCTCATAATCTGTAAAATTAGTATGCTAAGTAGTAAGTCTCACAGGGTGCCAGAATTTATGTTTCCAACACACTGTGAGACTCTTGGATCAGCAGGTGAAAAATATTATTATAGCCAAGGAACACTTCTTCCCTTTAGAAGTCTAGACAGTTATTAGGGCACAAGACTGCAATGCCAGTGCAATAGCTCCAAGAGCCCCATAGGGGGTTAAATTCCTTCTTGTGGTTAAGCATGACTAATCCTTTTCTTAAGATTATTCTATGCTGCTTTCTCAGAAGCCATCTACTGTAACCTTGTTGTTTTATTCTTGATTGCAGCTGCTGCATAGCATTAGCTTTCTTGGATGGCACAAAATTCCGTTCGGGAACATATGTGGTATACCAGCACATTGATGGTGCTTTGTGCCTGTATCCCAGGTACAGGAGACAGCATCCAAGTGTTTAAGTGATGGGATAGGGAAGCAAAAAGTATCTGCATTCCTTCAACCCTTACAACTGAGCATTCAACTGCCACATTACCATCCCTTCTTGCAAGTTATTAGTTCTTCCCCTACTTGCCTTGTGTCCAGTGTATTAAGGAATATGTTATGAACAATGGTTCTTTCTTCTGCAGTGGGAGCCATTTTCAGTAAGGATGCAGTGCTGAAATCAACCCTCCTTATCCTGTTCACTAAAGAAAAAAAATTTATTGAGCACAAAGATTGCAGAACATCACTTGGTTTTAAATTGCTTTACAAAGGGGTCAACTCCTCTCTCCATTTTAAAATTCATCACCAGAGTAAGTGATTTTTGTATTCACAGTCAGACTTACCAGAAATTTGATTTTAATATTTGTCTGCATTAAAGAAAAAAATATAGGGTGTAATCAGCCCCACTGAAGCCAATGGAAGTTTTGTAACTGACTTCACTGGGGCTAGGATTTCACCCATACATTTTATTTAAGTGCTTTATTTTGAAATGGTCACTTAGCTGGTTTGCCAACAGAATTTGTTGGTCTTATAAACACAGCAATGTACTGCAGACCCATTATTCACATACTAGGATATTCATTTAACCACTACAGATTGATTCATACTAAAAAATGCAAAGGAACTGAATAGTGTGTGACACATTTCTACTTTTTGTATCATTGGCAGTATATAATTTAATTATTTACTAAAGATAGTGTAGAACTTTTGGGGAAAAGGAGCTTTTAAGAGTCTTCTGGTATTTTATTTTTGTACACCTTCAAAAATAAACAAAACAGGGGACTTTAAAAAACATAATGTAACGAGGCTTTCGCAAGGATCTGTACCTTATAATTTTTTTTTTTTTTTTTTTAAAGTTGGCTTTATCGTGACAAGTTCCAAGGGTCCTGATACTGCAACCCATCCCTCATATCTCCTTCAATAGCATTTCTGTGGTTCAGTTAATTAGCTGCTCATGCATTTGGATTTCCCCACAAACTTGTGTGGTTACTGTGTATATGGTACAAAGAACCAAATTTATGAGGACATGAGTTATGATGAAACCAGTTATGGCAGCCCACAATTTTCAGATTTTAACTTAGTTGGCTATTTTAACTCAGAGCAGTTTTGAACTCCTCTAAAACAAGGTATTTGTGAAGCAAACTTTAATGAAATAAAAAAGTCACCAAGGGTAAGTAAGAAAAAGAAAAATCAGTCATACACAGTACATGCTGCCACAAACCCCAAAGATTTACCATGCACATACAGAAAGCTAACAATGACTTCCTCTCTATCTTATGTCTTGTGCAGTGAAATATACTTAGGATATAAAGGAACCGTCCAACAACTAGTCATTTTGGTTGCCTACGGTTTTGGGTGACAAGTTGAGATACCTGAAAGAGCTCTATTTTCAGAAGGTGATGAGCACCCAGTTGTTGAAAATCAGGCCCCTCTAAAGTGTCAAATTGGTCATCCAAAGATTAAAGCACCGAAAATTGAAATTAATGGGATTTACGTGCAAACTTAATGTTAAGCATGTGCTTAAATGTTGTCCTGAATAGGGGCTTTAATTGGTAAGATATTATGTGATTCAATTTAGATAGTATAGCCCTCAGTGTGCCACAGTCCAAATATGAACACAAGACAAGATGCAGCAGTTCAGGAAGTATGATTTATTTAATTAACATATCTACAGTTTCCTTACTCTCAGTTTAGTTATTCAGTATTTCTGATGTACTACAATAGCGTATTAAAATTGATACAACTAGATATGGTCTAAAACAAAACCTTGTATCTGAGGTAAGGTGAGGGGGAAAATGTTTCAAAATCCAGATTCAAAATTCATGGTTTGGACTAATCTCAAGGTACTAGCAGGTATGTGAGGTGGAAGTAAATTTGATCTTAAATAAATTAAGAGCAACTCTTGCTAGTAGAATTTCTGAACTTCACGCTCTCTCGGTCACTGCAATGAATCTATACCGTTTTCCACTACCATAAAGTATACATGAAGTATTACATACATTCTCCTTTCCTGAAGATTTCTTCCTCCTCTGGGCCCTCAGGAATTAATGGATTAACAAATGCTGACCTATAGATATGAATTATTTTTAAAGTGATATGCTTTAGAAAAAATTGTCATGTAAATACACAGGGGAAAGATCAATAGACATTCCTTCGTTCACATACAATCTAAGAGAGAAAGACATAGCTTTATCCCAGATAAGATGACATCTAAAGAAATAAATAAGTTTCATAGGCTGGCTGGTGACACCGGAAGGTCACCCATTGGCTTTATTGCTCAGCAGATCTCAGACTCTGTTAACAGCTCTCTAGTAGAATTAAAAATGAGTCCTCATAGCATTTATACTTCTTTAAAAGTTAAATGATGACCAAATTTTCATATAAGAGATTACTGCAGACTGAAACCATTCAGAAGTACAGTAAATTCAAGCAGTGATCTAGGATTGTCTAAAATAATGTCTAAAATTGTCTAAATAGTTGTCTAAAATAATGAAATGAAAGAACTTGAAAAAACCTGTAGCAAGCCTTCTGCCGTAATCTATTCATTTCAGCAGTGGCCTTATCAGCAACCAAAAGCTGTTTACCACACATACAGCTTACCAAATAAGAACATTAGAAGCTGCCTACAGTCCAATTCATTTGTTTATTGTGCTGCACAAATCTACAATGCCTAATTATATAGATCAAATTAACATACGAATCTTTCACAAAGCAAGATGACTGTTTACTCTTAGGAGCCCTCCCTCTCCATAATTTGGAGAAGTTACTTCTGTTCTTAATTTGTTACATTATGTTCAGACTGGATACAAAAAGATACATATATGCTATGTTTGCATCATGCTACACTGCTGAGGCAGCTTCTCTCTGTTCCCCAGATTTGCTAACTTTCCAAGCATGCTGCAAAGTCCAGGTTTTCTCTTTCTGTTCTCTGACTACAGAGGACGGAGCTGGGCTGAGATGGTCTTTTTATATTATTTTGTATGTTTTATTTTTTGGAATAGTTACCCAGATATGAGGTTAGGAAGGATGGTACACTGACAGGAGACCTAGCCTAGAACCTAGGTTGCCCATGGCCAATTCCTACTCTACCACAGCCATCCTCTCTGATCTCAGTAAAGTCACTTACTCTCTCTGTACATCACTTTCCTGTCTGTAAAATGGGAATAATAGCACTTCCTATCACACATGGGTGTTGTGAGGATAAATACATTAAAGACTGTAAGGTACTCAGATACTACAGCCACAGGACCCATTTAAGTACCTAGGATAGATGCATTATAAACTTGAAAAAATAAACATGTGACCATATTACTATGTCAAGGACACCGAATTATTTTAAATCACAAAAATATTTTTCTATTATTATGCACACAAGAAGTTGTTAGACCTATTATGAATAGAAAGATTTAAGATTTTTGAAAATTGCAAATTAAACAGGGAAGAAGTAGAAGTTTTAGTTAAACCTCCCACAGCAATGCTAGTGCCCTATAGGCCAAAAGAGAAAAGATCAGTTTGTTTGTTTTAAATGACCAAGCAAAATAATATGTGGGAAGTAAAACCAGCAAGATGGGGAAATGTAAATTAGAATTTTTAAATTCCTTCAAAATCATTAACAGTCCTAGTTATTAGTTACACAAGTTTGGGTTGACAGAGTCCTCTAAGGAACTCCCAGAATTTTCAGTATGGTATTAAAATTATATTCGTGAGTGACCATTTACAAGTTGAGGATCAGCCCTTCCCTCCCTTGATACAGGGACCAATTAATTCTCATGGTTACAGTAGATTCCTGGTGGATTCCAGATGACTTTTCCTTCTGGCGTGTTTTAATCAGGTCTATTATTTAAATTCAGGGAAACACCATTTCTAGAAATGGGTCAAATACCAATTATAGTTTGAAAACTAATAACAATACTCTATACAGTTCTGAGAAGCTAACTGTAGACCTCCTCTCCCTCAAGCTCTCCCCCAAAAGAACCTGAAAATATACTGCCTATTTCCTAACCAAAAAAAAAAGGGCAAGTATATGATTTACTTATAACTGAAGCACATATAAAAGTTAGAGCATTTGCCACTTTCCAACAACAACAATCTGGTATTCCCAGTGTCCCACACAGATAAATTACCTCTTGTTTTCTGGATCACGGGCCACCATGACAAAGGTTGCATCTAACACAGGGCTGTAAGTACCATCATGTAACTAAAAGAGGACAAACAAATCCAGTTTTAATCTCTACAAAAAAGTGACATTGTTTAACAGGCCACGCAGTTCATACTAATAATGCAATTAAGATGTTGTTTGCTTTCACATTTCACCCCTTTCCAGTTCTCTTGCAATGGACCTAAGACGAGAGAAGTGCTCAGCATAATATTCTATTTCAGCAGAACTGCCATGCAACTATTTAGCAATGATACAGGTTATACAATTAGTATAAAAAATGGCAACAACTCTAGTTACCAATTAGTTCCCACTTCCATTCCCAAACAACCCCATGGAAAAATACCACAACAACAACCCATTATCACTGCCGACTTGCCTACCTAATGCCAGCACAGAGAGGAATGACACATTTAGCAACAGATAATCCCTTATCCACTAACAGTTCCACAGTACAGACATTAGTTTTAAGAGGTAAACTGGATCAAAACTGGGTTTTTATATTTGTTTTTCTGACATGTAGGATGTATTTTGAACAATTCAATTGCCACATTAGTATTTTGTAATGGAGCTGGACAAATAATTAATTGTGAATAATACATCATATTCATTGGCAGCTTTTCACTGAATGGTTACTAATAAATATTTTTTCCATTATTTAGCCAGGTATATTTTTTGTAGATCAACTGTACTCCAATTAAAGTATCTTATTTCAACACTGTTTCCAGTGACATTCATGAATTATCTGTCTTACAATGCTAAAAAGTCAAGTTATTTTACACACTAGAACATATCAACACAATACCTTGGAAAATTGGTCTGAAATCAACAAGATGGCATTCAGTAAAGGCAAGTGCAAAGTACTACATTTAGGAAGAAGAAAAAAATTAAATCACAGCTACAAAAAGGGGAATAACTGGCCAGGCAGTGGTGCTGCTGAAAAGGATCTTGGGGGGGGTGTAATGTTTCACAAAATTAATACAAGTCAACACTGTGATGCATTTACAAAAAAGGCTAATATCATTCTGGGGTGTATTAATTGGAGTGTCATATATAAAATATGGGAGGTAACTGTACTGCTCTACTTGGCACTGTGAGGCCTCAGCTGGACTACTGTATCCAGTTTTGGGTACCACACTTTAAGAAAGATGCGGAGAGACTAGCAGAGCAATAAAAACTATAAGGTTTACAAAACCCTACCTCTCAGGAACGATTAGAAAACTGGGCATGTTTAGTCTTCAGAAAAGAAGACAGGGGGTGGGACCTGATAATGGTTTTCAAATGTGCTAAGGGCTGTCACCCACATAGACTCAGAGGCTTCAAGGCCAGAGGGCACCATCAGAATCATCCAGTTCTCCTCCTGCACACTGCAGGCCACAACCACACCCACCCATTACTGAGGTAGGCCCATAACCTCTGGCTGAGTTACTGAAGTCCTTAAATCTTGATTTAAAGACTTCAAGTTACATAGAATCCACCATTTCTGCTAGTTCAAACCAGCAACTGATCTCTGCCCAACACTGCAGAGGAGACAAAAAAAAAAAAAAACCACAGTCTGACCTGGGGAAAAATTCCTCCTGACCCTAAATATGGTGAGCTGTTAAACCCTGAGCACGTGGGCAAGATCCACTGGCCAGACACCTGGGAAAGAATTCTCTGTAGTAACTCAGAGCTCTCCCCCTCCAGAGTCCCATCTCCGGACTCTGGAGATATTTGCTAACAGCAGTAGCAGACAGACCATAGGCCATTGTAGGCAATCTCATCATACCATCCCCTCCATAAACCTACCAATCTTAGTCTTAAAACAAGTTAAGATTTTTGCCCCCACTACTTCCCTTGGAAAGCTGTTCCAGAACATCACTCCTCTAATAGTTAGAAACCATCTAATTTCAAGACTAAACTAATTGATGGCTGGCTTATATCCTTTTGTTCTTGTGCCAGCATTGACCCCTAACTTAAATAACTACTCTCCCTTCCTGGGCTGTTACAAAGAGGACGGTGATCAATTGTTCTCCATGTCCACTGAAGATAGGACAAGATGTAATGGGCTTAATCTGAAGCAAGATTTAGGTTAGATCTCGGGGATAACTTTCTAACTATAAGGATAGTTAAGCTCTGGAATAGGCTTCTAAGGGAGGTTGTGGAATTCCCATCATTGGAGGCTTTTAAGAACAGGTTAGACAAACACCTGTCTGGGATGGTCTAGGTTTACTTGGTCCTGCCCCAATGCAGGGGGCTGGACTAGATGACCTCATGAAGTCCCTTTCAGCCTTAAATTTCTGTGATATCCCATTTCAATATCAATTCTAAACTCTGGCATTCTAATCTGGGTATCTTTTGATGTTAAAATAAAGAAGAAAACATTTCCAAAAAGCAGGGAGGACACCTTTGTTGGAAGAGAAAAGAAGGGCTTATGGACTGCCATGTTGCATTAGACCAATGGTCCATCCTATCTCCAACAGTACCAGATACTTCAGTGGAAGATATAAAACACCTACCATAAACAGCTATGCTTTGGAAAGGAGAAGTATATTCTTAATCTTAGACCACTGGTAGTCATTTAGGTCCTGAAGCACAGGGGTTGGTAGCCCTTCTAAAACAGATGATACCCTCAGTGTAATTTAGGTTTCTAATGTTATCACTCATAATTCCTTCTGAGGTGTCCAAGGTATTTTGGGAGAAATGAAGAGAGTTTTCTGCTATAGAAGAAATAGAAGTCACTGACCCCAGCCTGAAGCATGTGCATCTTCACTTCCATTGAGGTCTTCCCAACCCAAGAAACATTTCCAGTGAATTTGATATCACAATCTGGGTATATGACCTTCTTGCACAAATCTAGAATATACATGACAATGTATTAGAGCAAGATAACTGAAGTTTAGTATTTAAAAAGCAAGGGTATGGATTCTCCTAGGCCACTTCACACTGAGTATCCAGCACAAAGTGGCCATAAAATAGCTAGAGATGGCCAGTCAGTATTGCACCCAGTGCAGGGAAACTCTCTGCTGGTGGAAGAAGCTCAACCAGCTCAACCAGCTTCTATACCAGCCACCCCTCCTATCAGCAGCATAAGGGGAAGAAGCAGCACACAGAGGAAACAGCATGACAAGCTACAGTAAAGTTCCACTACACACCATCCTCCACTGGTGTAAGGGTCTTTCCCTGTATCCCTATCAACTGGCTCCCTGCAGCCCTATAAACTGGCTCCCTGCAGACAAACCCAAAATGCAGCTCTGATGTGGTAAAGAATGAGGGCCACAGTGTTTCCTGTTCACACAGCAAATTTATTCTGGTATTAAATCAAGATTAGTTCTAGTTTAGAATCATCAGCAATGGACTCACATACACACTGTTGGTGTCACAAGATAGCAGCAGGTCATCATAATTGACAATTAGAGTTAATCAATTAATCTTTTTTTTTAAAATGGTTTAATAGATTATCTATACATAGTGAAAAGGGAAGAACTCCGCTCTATTTCCGGCTCTGCTATTAGGCTGCTGGGTGACCCTGGGCAAGTCACTTCACCTCTCTGTCCCACAGTTTCCCCATCTGTACAAGGAGGATAATGATATGGACATCCTTTGTAAAGCACTTTGAGATCTACAGATGAAAAGTGCTATATAAGAGCTAAGTTATTATTTTTTAAGTACCATTAGTGTGCTTGGTTACGTACTGTACAAAATCAAAGCTGAGTGACACTGCTATAAGCCTCTTTCTTGGAAGAGGAGCAACACTGGCCTGTCAATATCTAGAAGACTGACTTGATTGATGCAAAACTGAATACAGAAAGATGAAATATTCACTTTTTGGAAGGAAAGGCATCAGAAAAGGCAGAATAGTATCTAAGGAGAACATATCAGAATTAACACCAAACAATTTTATGTAAACAAAGGAGGAAGAAATCAGTTTCTGCTGGAGATAAGCAATTAATTACTGAGTGTTCATAGAACAGACTATCATTTTTCAGTTGATCAAATGTCCACTTACCAATTTTATCCACCAGGGCTGTAACTATTGACAAAGGAGATCTCTGAGAAGCTTCATGTTTCGTGTGAGTGTAACAAATGAGAACTGTGGAGAGATCAAAGTTATCTGTTCTCCATATATTTTAAAAGGGATTTTAAAGAGTGGAACAAGCTTCACAATGTAGCCATTGTGATACAAAATGTAGGGCACATGTACAGTTCAAACAAAACTGAGGACAAACAAGACTACATCCTGGAGGGTTAATGACTAAAGTAATTTAATCTGCTTACAAAACTTTATTCACCCAGAGCAAGTTAATTTGGTCTGATCATTCAAGTATACCCACTCTTTAGATCAATTTCACATTGCTCTGGATCATTTTAAGTGTTTATACTGTTTTGACATGATGGAGATTTTGTAACTGAGGATATGCATACACTGCAAATTAAAAAAAGTTTGTTCTTAACACAGGTTAGTTAAAATAGCAGTAACTCAGGTTAACAGCTTGAGTTCATTCCCAGGCTCTGCTATAGGCTTTAATTCAAGCTCCTAACCCAAGTTAAATGCCAAGTTGCCATGTCTTCACTGCTACTGTAACCTGAGATAGCTAACACAAGTTAAGAACACACCCTTTTTTGCTGTATAGCAGGAGTGGGCAAACTTTTTGGCCCGAGGGCCACATCGGGGTTGGCAACTGTATGGAGGGCCAGGGAGGGAAGGCTGTGCCTCCCCAAACAGCCTGGCCCCTGCCCTCATCCACCCCCTCCCACTTCCCGCCCCCTGACTGCCCCCCTCAGAACCCGCAACCCATCCAACCTCAATAACAGCAAGGTAACGTACTGAAACTAGTCTAATTCAACTCAAGACTCTCACTAGAACTAAGCTTTCAGACAGCTTTCTGTTCTGAACTGCTCAAGGCCATCAAAACATTAGTGATGCTCATTCATCTGATGACGAATGGCATGGTTTCAAAACATTACACCTTCACATGAAAATTGGTTCCCACAGCTATGAATATTTCATAATTGGGTATATGACCTTCATGAACCAAAACCTTTACACGCTGGGCAGAACAGATAGACAACTGTGGGATTTGGGGGATTATTTTGAGTAATAATGGAGATATCCTATCTCCTAGGACTGGAAGGGACCTTGAAAGATCATTAAGTCCAGCCCCCTGCCTTCACTAGCAGGCCCAAGTACTGATTTTGCCCCAGATCCCTAAGTGGCCCCCTCAAGGATTGAACTCACAACCCTAGGTTTAGCAGGCCAATGCTCAAACCACTGAGCTATCCCTCCCCCTTTGAGTGCAAATATGTTCCCACACTTCTATCAGCAACAAACCACCTCTTTTAGCAGCAAAGCAAAAGATTAGAATCTCAGTGTCTTTAAAGGCTGGATGTGAATGATCCTGCACAAAAAGCAGTAAGAGAACCTTAGAATCATAGAATCAAAGGACTGGAAGGGACCTCAAGAGGTCATCTAGTCCAGTCCCCTGCACTCATGGCAGGGCTAAGTATCATCTAGACCAGGGGGAGGCAACCTATGGCACACGTGCCAAAGGCGACACGCAAGCTGATTTTCAGTGGCACTCACACTGCCCGGGTTCTGGCGGCTCTGCATTTTAAATTTAATTTTAAATGAAGCTTCTTAAACATTTTAAAAACCTTATTTACTTTACATAGAACAATAGTTTACTTATATATTATAGAGACTTATAGAAAGAGACTTTCTAAAAACGTTAAAATATATTACTGGCACGCGAACCCTCAAATTAGAGTGAATAAATGAAGACTTGGCACACCACTTCTGAAAGGTTGCCGACCCCTGATCTAGACCATCCCTGACAGATGTTTGTCTAACCTGCTCTTAAAAATTTCCAATAACTGAGATTCCACAGCATCCCTGGGCCATTTTTTCAAATGGCAATGCTCTAAAACCTGAACTACATCCCAAGTACCCTCAGTGGGTGGTGGTTAGTTCTAGCTGACAAGCGATGAAATGACAGTCCAAGGCAGAAACTTCTATGCAGGCCCCAGCAAGAATTGAACTTGCAGCCCCTGGTTTACAAGACCAATGGTCTAACCCCTGAGCTACAGAGCCAGGTCCCCTGTTACTGTTTCAATGCTGATTTGTAAATGAAAAGACTTCCTCTCCTGCTCTAAGCACCACCTAATGCCTCTACAGAAAGTTCAGGGACTATTATATATGTGGCCTCACTCCCATGCCAAACAACTCTTACTTCTCCACACTAGACAATTTCTACTGACACCCCTCTTTCCACTTTTCAACTTTCTCCTCAGACAAAACTACTCTACCTCCTGCTGTTTTTAAGAGAGAAAAACATCCAGTTTAATATGAATTTCTGTACCCTGCCTCCTTCCTTTTCCACCCTGCACACTGTCCCTCATAACTCAAGCATCCGACTTAGAAACACACCTCTTATTCTCTTTCATTAATCTCTCCAGAACCCAGGAACTGCCATATCAAATCAGACCAGTGAGCCATCCAATCCTGGTACTGGCCATTCTTCTGGACAGGATACTTCAGTGGAAAGTATAAAACACCTATAAAGGGACCTCCATTACCTGCCCCTGGGAGAATTTTTTTCCTACTTCCAGGCAGTTAGTGGTTAGTTTATGCCTTGAAACATAAGGGACTCTCTCTTCTAATTTTATTTCCTGCCCAATGTAACTGTAGATTTTCTTCCTATAAAAGTCTAATTATTTATTTAATCCTACTAAGCTCTCGTATTCAATGACATCTAGTGGCAGTGAGTTCCACTGATTAATTATGTATTGTGTAAAAAGTATTTCCTTTTATCAATTTTAAATGTATTGCAATTCAGTTTTTGGGGGTATTCTCTTGTTCTTGTATTAACAGAAAAGGTACAAAGCTTCTTCTTAATTCTCATTGTGATGTTGCACTCCATATGTTTTAGGAAATATGCTAATGAGTGTGAATATAATGTAACTGGAATATGCTTCATGCAAAAGGTCTCTTGTAAGGTATCATTACAAAGCTTATAATCTACTGAATGTGTTCATCCCATTTGTTTGCCTGTATTATTTCTATGTCTGAAGTTAGGAGAATAAGATATAAACTTGTGTTGCTGATGTAAACATGTTAAGTGGACACCATTAAGGGTGCTTCAGAATCAATGAACTGTGAATGGGTTTGTTTACCTGCAAGCCTTCCTATGTAGTGTCTTCCAGCTACTAGGTAATGAAGGAGGTCTTACAGTGATCATGTCACCTGAACTGGAGTCCATCTTAAACCTGCTTTTCCATTTAGAAGGAGGGGTGGGAACCCAGAGAGAGACAAAGGATTCCCGCCTTGTGCCAAAGCTATAAAGGGGAGTGGAACAGAACAAAGGGGGCTGCCAGTCATGAGAAATCCCCTAGTTATCACATGAGCTGGGACTGACAAGGGCTGTACCAGAGGAAAGGAATGGGCCTAGACTAGGAAGGAGTCTAGTCTGTGAAAGGAACTTATTGGAACAACTCTGAGGGTGAGATTTTACTTGTAAACAGGTTCTTAATGTATTAGGCTTAGACTCGTGCGTTTTGTTTTATTTTGCTTGGTAACTTACTTTGTTCTATCTGTTATTACTTGAAACCACTTAAATCCTCTTTTCTATACTTAATAAAATTACTTTTGTTTATTAATTAACCCAGAGTAAGTGATTAATACCGGGGGAGCAAACAGCTGTGCATACCTCTCTATCAGTGTTATAGAGGGCGGACAATTTATGAGTTTACCCTGTATAAGCTTTATACAGAGTAAAACGGATTTATTTGGAGTTTGGATCCCCTTGGGAGCTGGGTGTCTGGATGCTGGAGACAGGAGTACTTGCTGAGCTGTTTTCAGTTAAGTCTGCAGCTTTGTGGGTGTGGTTCAGACCCTGGGTCAGTGTTGCAGCAAGTTAGCGTATCTGGCTCAACAAGACAGGGTTCTGGAGTCCCTAGATGGCAGGAAAACCGGCTCAGAGGTAATCTCAGCACATCAGGTGACCGTCCGAAGGGAGTCTCTGTGACCGACCCCGTCACACTCATCATCTCAGATCTCCCTGCTGCTCCGATCTTTACAATGCCAGAGCAGCCCAAAAACTGAATATCTTTCTCAACGGACATCATTTGAAACACAAACCCCACCAGTTTTTCTCAGAGTAACCTTCGATAAGTAGGTCACATATCTTAATCACCTGAGGAAAACTGCTATGGTGATGACGCATTACAACCTTCTAGGCAAATTCTAGGCCAGCACTTCCTGAGGAGCAAATGCTCAAACTCTCCGATATTTGGTTTAGCCCTCTATTATTCTGCAGCAGAATACAGTGCTCCACTCTGGCTCCATTTGTCTCACATCAAGTCGGCTGACACATAACTACACTCAACCATGCACATCGTAACTGGGAAGATTCGACAACACCAGCTCCCCACATTAAGCAACATGACTTCTCCACGCATACATCATCAGGCTGCTACAGACAGAATGGTTGAGAAGATCAGGACAAACCAGACACCACTATATACACACCGCTTCGACCACTCAAGAGCATGTTTGCTCTCAAGGAACCCGTTGTGGACCCACTTGCCCTGCCTAGATTTCTCTGATGTTGAAGTGGCATGAAAAATGGTCTGCAGCTGACATCAGAAACCAGTCTCTTATAACTGACCTGACACACGTCTGTGGCTTTGATTTGCCACACCACTCATGGGCCTTTATGAACCAATTTTGAATAAGCCAGGGTTAATATGAAACTAGCCAGCACACCGGGGGTCAACAACAGGATCCAACTTGGGGTCACGGCCAAAGACAGACAGCATCACAAATCACAGACGACTGCTCTCTGACCAGATCTGATGGTGGTCTGAAGGCTCTGTGCTTTGCTGATGAAGCTGCCGCACATTCTCTTGGCAAGCTCCAAATCCAATAAGAAGTCCCTATTCCAGTTGACATGGCTGATCACTCCTTAGTCTGTGATTCCATTCTTTCCTGATTCTCATCCCCTCTGGTATTCCCATCAGTGGCTCCTGTTATTTCAAACACACCAGGCTAAACTGTGGAACCTGTGGGATGACTTCCAACCAACTCCTGACACTGAGGGGGGAAAAAAAACAGACAGCCCTTTCCCAAGAGCATTTTTCTTCATAGCTTCCTATTCCATCTAAAACAAACCTCTTTTAGGAACATTTACCTGCATGCTACTCTTTAAATTTGGCATAGGCAAGCAGCTGAACCATTCTGCCTCTGGCTACTCCTTACCCCATTTTCCTCTCTTCCAACTGTATTAGATTTTTCTTCTGGAGGTTGTAGCACATCCTCACAGACAGAACACATCAGTATACTACAATCAAAGCTGTGTTATCCGACACTTTACCAACCAGAAAGCTCTATAAGCCGGCATTTCTGATCTTCATTGAAAGTGCGGTTTATAGCCCAGTTGGCGTGGGGTCGGCAGGCTCCCTACCTGGCTCCGCATGGCTCCACAGAAGCGGCGATATGTCCCTGCTGCTCCTAGGTGGAGGAACGGCCACAAGGGGTTTGAAGTGCAGGGGGGGGGTGTGGGGCGTGGGCTCTGGGAGGGAGTCTGGATGAGGGAGGGGGCTCAGGGCAGGGGCACGGGAGTGGGTGACATGTCCCTGCTGCTCCTAGGCAAAGACGCAGCTAGGCAGCTCTTCGCACTGCCTCTGCTCCACCCTGAACACTGGCCAGCCAATGGGAGCTGCAGGGGCAGCACCAGCAGTGCACAGAGCCGCCTAGCCGTGCCTATGCCTAGGAGCAGCAGGGACATGTCACCGCTTGTGGGGAGCCACCCGAGGTGAGCACCGCCTGGATCCGGCACTCCGCACCCCCTCCCGTGCCCCAACCCCCTACACCGAGTCCCCTCCCGCACCCAAACTCCCTCTGAGAGCCTGCGCCCTGCACCCTTTCCCGCGCCCCAACCCCCTCCCACACCCAAACTCCCTCCCTCTTATTTAACAAGAATTTTTTAATTACCAGCACCCCCAACTCTCCCAACATGCCGGATAACAAAGCTTTTACTGTATATTGTTCTGAAGTAATTCATTCCAAACAATACAATAGCTACATCTTCAAACATACATTTGCTATCTCTTGTTCTAATACAGTAACAGTAGATTTGCATTAAACATAGGTATAGTTACATACCTCCTAAGCTGTCAAGATCTTCAAGAATTCTTCCAAACCTAGGACATAAATAATGAGAATTCAACTACTACATTAACAGTAGATAAGCAATTTTTATTTTTCCATATGCATAAAATGATTGCCTTGTTACCTCACACTATTATGTACATTCAGATATTTTTCTCTTAATTCAGGTTGACTTCCTAGAGGTAAAATAACCTCTATGTAGCTATCACTCATTTTCCTAGGTGGCAAGTCTTCCTGCTGTTTGGCCAATAGAATATGTAGGTCTTTTCTTTCATGCATTGCTTGCACATGGTCACTGGGAAGAAAAGAAATTGAGAACATCAGCAGAATACAGGATGCAACTCTCCCCAAAATATGCCATGCTGTAGATCAACGTTTAAACAAACAAAACAGCAGCAGTGAGAAAAAAGTATATATTATACCAGGGATCACACGTCATGAGAGGAATAGAGACGTACAACACATCACAATCAGAAATGTTAAAAGCAAGTAAACTATGTGCAAACTCTTAATGAACAGGATGTGATGGTTTTATCAAATAAAGTAGCGTACTTTGTACAAGAGAGTTAAATAATTAAATAAAAATATATGTCCAATCCTGAATGATGCAAAGCTGTTAAAAAAAAACAACAACCTGCACTGCTTTAAAGAACACTTGATTTCAAGGAAACATAATTTAACCTAATGATTTTTGTACAGATTCTTATGGCTCACATTTACTATAGCCCAACTCTTCCAACATAAAAAATCTGTTAAATTTACTAGGTCCAGATTATCACTTTACAATCTGCCTTGAGTAAGGAGACCAGAGAGGGAACCATGACTCCGTTGCTATTCCCTCCTCAGTTCTTCTCCCTACCCCCCGCCAGCACTTTGTTCCAGGAGAAAAGTAACCTGCCAATGTTCTACGCCAACAGCAGTTTACTTTCCCTGCCATACCAGCTCACCTGTGCTGGCCAGAACATTGATGGAAGGTGAAAACCAAATCTATCCATTCCCCAATCCATCTATGCAGAAAAAGGCACACTGCTCCTGCAGAGGGTGCTCTCCCCACAACAGTCATCCATGAGGCAAGTAGCCTGTACAGGGGAATAAGGAGACACCTCATCCCACCTTACTTCCCTGCAGAGATGCAGATGGCAAGTAAAACTCTTGCTCTAAACATCACTCCTTACATGAGCCTCAGAAGTTCCCTCCTCTTAAAAGTGCAACCTAACTTTAGAAAGCATATATTTTATAACTCTTCTAAAGTCAATACTAAATCTATATAACAAATGGGTATTAAATCTGTTAAACCTACGAGAGTTCAAATATAATGCTAAAGATATTCTCTAAAACACTAACCTGTTTCTTGGACCAGGCACATCAAACTATTTTTTTTTAATTCTCACAATGGATCTATGCCACAAAATGGATCTATACCATTCACATATGTGCAGCTTGATCCTTTGTGCATGTTATAATACAGTACTATGCGCCATTGTGCATAGCAGAGTTGGTCCCAAGTTTCTAACAAAAGTTTGGGGGTGGGGTTTTTTGACTGAAAAATGCCATTTCAAATGCAAAACCCCACACTTTTTCAAACAATTGGACTCTCTCTACCCCTGTTTTCCAGTGGAAAGAAAGGGGGAGGAGGGGAGGGAGGGAGAGAGAGAGCTTTTTCCCTCACCAAAACCTATTTTGAAATGTTTTCAAAAATATTAAAAGGATTAAAATGTTTAATCAAAGAAACCAAAATTTTCACAGAATATTTTGAGTGAAATAAAAACTTTCACTGCTTTAAAAATATTGTGAAATGTTATTTATTTTTTTGACCAGCTCTAGTGCATATCAGAGTTCACAGAGCACATAAGAAGTTACAGTTCCTACTCCAAAGGGTCTACATTCTAAGTTACACAGCTGTACAGACACGGAATACACCAGACTGCTAAGTGAAGATGCTCTATTCTTTAGTTTCTGTGGATTTATCTCTAGGTTGGACTAACAGTGAAACGTTTCAGGGAAGATGCAAAATTTTAAAGGAGAGGTCTAAATGAAATTGATAGTCACAGGTGCAAATTCAACAGTCCATAAACCTGTAGGAATTGAACAATGAGATCCAATTATATTCTGTTCTCCACCCTACTCCTACATTGCACTTTTAATAGACATATTAAAGTCTCCTTTGAAGTCAATGGCAAAACTCCTATTGCCTTCAAGGAAGCCAGGCTTTTACCCCTAAAAGTTTTAGAAAAATTCACACTTTCATATACATAGATGTAAATATTAGGGGTTATCTTCTCTATAGTATATTATAAGGAAATAATATTCCTCAAAACCATCAATATTTTTAAATGCTGCAGTACTACTCTTAAAATATTATACAAATACTCCATCCGTGTATCGACTGCTAGGTGACAAACATTCACAAAAAGGAAATCTTGTGTATCTGAATTAGCTAAACATAGGATCAAGCACAATCATCTAATACTATAACAGGTTTCCTCCAAAATAGTCCAACCCTCTGTATCACTCATTATAAAAGCCACGTGTAGACTTTTCACATCAGCAAAATTGATACAAACAGCCATTAAGTAGAGGAGAATCTTGCATGTGTTCTATGGTCCAGTACATGCAGCCCTAAAGTTAGGCATACAAGAATCTTAAGACCCGATCCAACTCCCATTGATGTCAATGTGTTTCTATTGACTTCGACATGTTGAATCATATCCGTAATCTAGATTATATAAATATATTTAATAATTTTATACACACAACAGCACAATAGAGTTGATGTAAATGGTCTCTCAATTTTTGCAGTTCATTGGGTAAGAAGAGCGTGTTCATAATCTCGAAAATACTATAAACCCTACACGTACAAACAAGATAGACGGATCTTGTAATGTAAAATGGCACTGATTTCCACAAAAGATTCATGAACTAAAATGTCATTACAACAAACTTAGGGCATATCTACACTGCAATCAATGGATATAATTGCAGCTCACGTAACCATACCTTAGCTAGCTTAATCTGGCTAGTATGGTACCAGAGCAGTGAAGATGAGATGGCATGTGCTTCAGAGTGGACTGTACAAGCCTGCCCAGAGCCCTGGGTAATTATTTACACAGCAAGCCAGCACTTAAGCATGCACTGCTGTAGCTTTGCTGTTCTGGTCCCAAAGCTAGCTCGGGCATGTCTACACGAGCTGCCACCTCAAACTTTAGCCACTAATTCAGAATTCAAAAGCCTTTAGTTTTCATTGTTTCTTCCAGCGTTAGCCAGGTGTTTTCCCACAGGTTAGCTGTATAATGCTGTTAACCTCCATTGCTGTGAAAGTGAGCTCTCTCAAGGGTATCAAAAATGAAAGAAAAATACATTCATGTACACTGTACCTCCAGTTGGTAGAAGCTCCCACTATAGCACTCAATCTGCTTCGCACTGAAACAAAATCAAAGCAAATCAGTCAAGTGACAAATGTGAAGTTGCCTGGTGCTAAAAGGTGCAATCTTCATCCCAAGAACAGGAAGATCAAGCAAAGTCATGCAAACAGTGGCTTGAAAACTAGATATTGTTGGCCAAATTCACTGCTGGTTTTAGTAGGTATATCATGATCTTTAGATGAGTTAATAAGACTCTCCACAGTTTAATAATGTAATTAACCTGGATTCTTTTTATCTTAGTAACATGATTCTGTAACCAGTTGTGTACAGCAAGGACCAACAGAAAATGCCTTCAGAAAATTTACTAATGCAAATACAAAAGTTGTTAGCTTTTTGAATAACTGAAAAAATATGGCAGATCAATATCAACCTGGGGAATTAGAATATGGGGCCATTTCAGCCTAAACACAAACAAATCCTGGCTAATTCACAGACTGACAAGAGGCAAGACAAACCCAAAAGGGAACAGTGCAGCTGAGGAAAAAAGGAAAATTTCTCTTTTTTCATCAATAATTTCCAAACAAGGACGGGCAGGGTCAGTATACTGGCTTTCGCAAGCAGGGACTCGTCTCCCTTGATGTAGAAATGCAGCTCTTAGCTGGGTTTACACCAGGGCCGCGGTGTGGCTAACGGATATGCTGGCCGCCGCTTCCCGCAGCCTACATTGGCCTGGGACGGCAAACTGCGGCCAGTGGGAGCCGCGATCGGCCGAACCTGTGGACGCGGCAGGTAAACAAACCAGCCCCGCCCACCAGGATGCTTACCCTGGCGGGCCGCGTGCCAAAGGTTGCCTATTCCTGGCTTACAGGCAGGCAGTCAATAGTACTTCTACCATTGCCTACACCAGTGAAACAGCTCTAGCATCTGTGCAAGGATGTGAGATTTCTTTAAATTTGGGGTGAAGAGGCAGATTAATGGTTCTGCTCTTTTCTCATTTGGGACTGCCAAGTTGATGCTAGGTCTACTCAAATCTAGGGACTCTACTCTGTGAGTTCTAGTTTGGTATATGCACGGTGTGTTCAGTGCCTGAACTCATCCAGCAACAGTTCATAAATTTCAGACAGACAATGACATGAAGCAGTTTACACAAGCAGGGCAACCTTGCCTCCTTATCAAGATTTTTAGCAGGAAGAGAGAGAGGATTTTAAATTATGAAGACAGAATTAAGGACATATCAGGGAACAGTTATATAAAGAACAAAAGCAAGACACAGATTCAACCACTGATATCACAGCAGCTGATCCTTCACATTTTTTATACAAGGCAAATTAAAATCATTACACATAGTCTTGCTTTGCACATTCCAGACTGAACACTCAAGATATTTGTATTAACAATTATCAAAAGTATATTTTGGATTAAGAAAAATTCCATGACTAATTTTACACCAATAAACCTTAACCAAAAGAAACGCTTAAAAATTAACTAAATTAAATTAAGCCTCATCAGTGGCCTATTTATATAAGAAGTGCTACTCCACTGAAGTCAATTAAATTCCACTCATGGAGCCAGCAGTGAACTTGCCCTAATATCCATTAGAGCAAAGCAGCATTAGAATGAACACCATCACAGCATCTACAACCATTTTTGTACTATCGTGCAAACTGAAAGAAAAATAAATGTTTTCACCCAGAATTTCTGTATCTTGATTTGAAGAGAAAGTTGTAGCCATTTCTAATTGTAAAGAGTGAGGCAATAAACTATTAATGACTTAATCCCCAATCTTGCAAAGATTTACATGTGCAAGTAGTCCCATTCACTTTTGTGCAACTATTCACAGATTTAAAACACACAAGTGTTTGTAGGGTAGAAGATTTAGTACTTTCATTGTGATTACACAAAATGTAAAAGGAAAATGTGCATAATAAATATTATTAAAATGTGAGCAAACCAAATCCATTCCAATTTACAGATTTAAAACCAAACAGTACTTCAGAATTTGTTTAGTGAGTAAATTCTATTATTCATCTACTCCCTTCTTCATTTAACAGGCTTTCAAGCAATTAGAGATAACGCTCCCTAAACTTCCATACTTGATTTACTATTTTGTTTTATTACACACTCTAATCGCTTAACAGTATAAAATATTAGTAAACCATCCATGAAAGCAATTGCTTTATTTGTGACAGAAATGTTATGAGATCACGAATGGGAGGGGGTTCACGAAATGTTACGGGGGTTCTTGGGAAAAAATTCCCTAATGGCGGACAGAGCTGTCCATAGGGACTCCGGGCAGCACGGGGCCAGCGGCCCAGAGCCCCTGGACTTCCAAGAGCTAAGTAGATCAAAGCAAGCATAGCTATCACGCTGAGGAGATTTAAACTTCAAGACTCCTTATAAGAAATGGAAAGGGAGGTGGATATTTTTTGCTGTTTTTAAAATAAATAGGCAGCTAGTATTGTTTTTAAAATTATTACAAAGAACAAGTTTAAGCTTTCTTGTAACGTGCGTTGTTTGCCTGGACTGCTCAAGACCTGAATGCTTGTGTAGGAGGAACTCTTTGAGTTGGCTTCTTAAATACCTTTATGCTGTTTCACATCTTATACTCCTTGATGAAATATAGGAGCCTTGTCTTATAACAGGCTTATTCTAAGCAACACAAGCTATGAAGGTGAGATCTTGGAAGAGTGTTGCCGTTTTCATAATGTAATAAAAATACTGTAATGATAAATAATAATTCATAATAAATAGTGTGCAATAAGCATGTCATAAAAACAAATGTTATATTTCCAAGATCACTGCTTTTATAATTTATACTCAAGTAAAGGAGAAAATCCCTGGAAATATTCATTTTTAGGAGGGCTTCGTGAGACTTGACATTTTAGTGAAAGGGGTTCACAAGTTGTTAAAGTTTGGGAACCACCGCTATGAGTCAATCCGTATGACCATGTGGCCCACACTATACAAAAGTTTGAGCATCCCTGCTATAGCGTACTAATAAAGTGATGCTGCATCAATTTCAAACTCTTTGTTAGAGCTCCATTGTAACAGTATTCACTCAAACCAGAAAAGGTTTTCTAACTTAAAAAAAAAAAAAATCACTAAAGCTGTTTAGTATAAATAAAAATACTATGAGTTCTTCAGGTCAAGAGAGAATATTGTAAACAGCAATGAAAGTGAAAGCTGAGGTGGCTCTACAAGGGATGGTATCAAGATACAGTTTTCTTCCAATTTAAACAGATGGAAATTTAAAGTAGCCTCAGAGACAGCTGACAGCTAGGAAAACAAACCCCAATGTTTCAGTGCATGTAGAGACTTTTGCACAATGTACAAGAAATGGGCTCTTTGAAGACCAGAGTACTGAAAATAGTTTTCTATCAGCACAGAGAACGCTCCCACCAATATAGTTCTGTCTACATCAGTGCTCAGTTTGGGATAATTTACGTTGCTCAGGTGTGTGGATTATTCACACCCCAGAACACCGTAAGTTATACTGAAGTAACCTGTAGTGTAGACAAGGTCAGAAAGTTTAGGAAGACAGCAAGCCGGTCCCTGGAATCAAAAAGGTTAAGAAACACTGCCCTAGAGAATGTGAAGGTAATCAGAGGCTGAGGCTGTTAACAGTATTTACTGGATGCACGGACATCTAATTTCCATTAAGAGTGAGAGTAAGCTTGCCATTAGTTTCAAGTAAATTACACAGCAGTATTCCCCAAACAAAGCGCCATATTGCGCCATCATTTTTTAAGCCGACCTTGCTATTGATTTCAGTGGGAGTTGCAGGTACTCAGCACATCTGAAAATCAAAGTTTTTATTTAGATGTCTAACTGAGGCTTTAGGAGTCTAACTTTAGGCAGCCAACTTTGAAAATGTTGGCTTGGGTCTTTCAACAAAAGCAGACTAGAGTTGGTATGTGGCATCTCTTTAAATTATCAACATTGCTTCAAATACCAAGTCAAAGATTTTCAAACTTGAGTCCTTAAAGTTAGGCTGCTAAATCCATATATAGGGATCTAAATAAATAGCCTGAGTTTTCAAGAGTATTAATCGGTTACAATTCCTATTGATTTCATTGGAAGATACAGGCACTCAAAACTTTTCAAAAGTCAGGCTGCTTAAATTCCTAAATACGGATATTGGAGCGTGACTTCAGGCACCTAAATTGGAAAAAACTTATTCCAGGGGCTTTCCTGAGTATACTTCTGTTTATACTTTTTGGGCCAAATCCTGCAATCTCTACTTTGACATAAATAAGAATTTTGCCTATGAGAGATTTACATGTATAAGAACTGCAGGATTTGTGCCTTAAAATATAAATGGTTTTATTACCTGCAGATTTTTTAAAAATGCAAGTGATCTAGCATGACCTTATATCAATCAGCACATTGTATATATGACCTGTGACAATATTTCTACCAATAAGATTGGAACCATTCACATGTCACAGTTAACAGTTTTAATGACCACAGGGATGACTTGTGAAAGTTGACAGAGAAAAATATTAGTTTTTGTTTTTCATGAATCCTCAAGTAAAGTTAGATAGTAGCAAGATAGGCTTGAAGCAGTTCTGCAAATATTAAAATGCATGCTGATTACCACCACACACCATTATTCACATGAATGGGTAAGTGTCCTGTGGAGTGGAAAAAACAAGTTAGATAATCAATACCACCATAAAACAAGGAAAAGAGTATACTTCTAGTCACAGGTTGTCTGGTTATTTTTCCCCTCCAAATTCCACTTTGCACATGCACTTTAGTATCTAATTGTAGGCAACTTGTCTTCATTCAGTTACATGGTTAATTTTAATATTAATTTTTGTTAAGCACCAGTAATGACAATATCCCTTCCTGCCCGGAAGAGCTTACAATCTATCACCGTGATCCTGCAAACATTTATGCACATGCTTAACTTGACACATGTGAGCAGCCCCAAGGATCAGGGCCTCAACAGTTGTAAATGGGGAAGAAAGGATGCAATAAGGAGGTCAGAGGAAGGAATAACATGGAGTATTTTTTTGGAGAGTTGCAGAGGTGGGGAGGATGATCTTTAAAGGGTTGTTTGGTTCACCTCTTGTGAGGATATAGAAGAAGTGAGTTTTTTTTTTTTTTTTTTTTTTTTTTTTACAGAAGGGATTTGAATGGAGGTCGGTGGTATGGAAAAACAAGTTGGGGTGAGCATCCAGCACTTAGGAGACAGCTTGGAAAAATAGATTAATATAGTGAATGGGAATGAAAGAAGGACAAGTTATTTATATATAGCAATGGAAGTTTGCATGGTGTTTTTACAGGCAAATAAAGTTACAGGTTTAGAGTAGAACCTCAATAAGCAGTAAGTGTTATAATATACAAACCATCAATTGCTCCCCATTTCTCAGTAAATAACCAATAACAGAGTGCCCCTAGAAGCTTTTACAAAAATGCACTGTACTGTATTACTAGCTGGTACTGTTATAGCTAAATCTAAAATTACAATCACAATAAATGAACCAAGTACAATTTTCATTAAATACCACATGTAGTATGCTTGCTTTTCTTCCCCTCCTCCCCACCTCTCAATTATGTGTTTGCTCATTTACTAACACAAATCTCCAACATTCAGTAAATCACAATAAGTAACCCAGTCATTAGTACAAATGAGAGTTTCTATTTAGAGAATGACTGAAGGATTAGATAGTATCAGACACTAGCAGAATCTCAGAGGAATTATTTGTGTCCCATTTCAGTCCCTTTGTTCTATTTTAATGTACATGTTAAAAAATAAGAATGGCCATATTGGGTCAGACCAATGATCCATCTGGCCCAGTATCCTGTCTTCCAACAATGGCCAGTGCCAGATGCTTCAGAGGGCGTGAAGAGAACTGGGCAATGTATCAAGTGATCCATCCCGTTGTCCACTCCCAGCTTCTAGCAGTCAGAAGTTTACGGACACCAGAGCATGGGGCTGTGTCCCTAACCATCTTGGCTAATAACCACTGATGGATCTATCCTCCTTGAGCGTATCTAATTCTTTTTTTAATCCAGTTACACTTTTGGCCTTCACCATATCCACTGGAAACAAATTCCACAAGTTGACTGTGCATTATGTGAAGACGTATTTACTTTTGTTTGTTTTAAACCTGCTATTGATTTCATTGGGTGACCCTGGATTCTTGTTATGTGAAGGGATAATAACACTTCCTTATTCACTTTCTCCACATCATTCATGATTTTATAGATCTCTATCATATCCCCCTTTCGTTGTCTCTTTTCTAAATTGAACAGTCCCAGTCTTTTTAACCTCTCTTCATATGGAAGCTTAATCCTTAATCATTTTTGTTGCCCTTCTCTGTATTTTTCCAATTCCAACATGTCTTTTTTTTTAGATGGAGCAACCAGAACTGCACACAGTGTTCAAGGTGTGGGCATCCCATTGATTTATATAGTGGCATTATGATATTTTCTTATCATCTCTTTCCTAATGGTTTCTAATATTGTTAGCTTTTTTTTTTTTTTACTGCCGCTGCACATTGAGCAGATCCTTTCAGAGAACTAGCCACAAGCACTCAAGCAAGAGATCTTGGAGTCAAACAGTTAATTAAGACTCCTAGACAAATTGGAGGATTGGGCCAAAAGAAATCTAATGAGGTTCAACAAGGACAAGTGCAGAGTCCTGCACTTAGGAAGGAAGAATCCCATTCACCGCTACAGGCTGGGGACTGACTGGCTTAGCGGCAGTTCTGCAGAAAATGACCTGGGGATTACAGTGGATGAGAAGTTGGATGAGTCAACAGTGTGCCCTTGTTGCCAAGAAGGGTAACGGCATATTTGGCTGCATTAGTAGGAGCATTGCCAGCAGATCGAGGGAAGTGATTATTCCCCTCTATTCGGCACTGGTGAGGCCACATCTGGAGTATTGCATCCAGTTTCCCCACACACACACACACACAGAAAGGATGTGGACAAATTGGAGAGAGTCCAGCAGAGAGCAACGGAAATTATTAGAGGGCTGGGGCACATGACTTATGAGGAGAGGCTGAGGGAACTGGGCTTATTTAGTCTGCAGAAAAGAAGAGTGAGGGGGGATTTGATAGCAGCCTTCAACAACCTGAAGGGGGGTTCCAAAGAGGATGGATCTCGGCTGTTCCCAGTGGCGGCAGATGACAGAACAAGGAGCAGTGGTCTCAAGTTGCAGTGGGGGAGATCTAGGTTGGATATTAGGAAAAACTATTTCTCTAGGAGGGTGGTGAAGCACTGGAATGGGTTACCTAGGGAGGTGGTGGAATCTCCTTCCTTAGAGGTTTTTAAGGCCCGGCTTGACAAAGCCCTGGATGATGTAGTTGGAGTTGGTCCTGCTTTGAGCAGGGGGTTGGACTAGATGACCTCCTGAGGTCTCTTCCGACCTTAATCTTCTATGATTTTGTACGTATAGTTGGAATTATGTTTTCCAATGTGCATTACTTTGGATTTATCAACATTGAATTTCATCTGCCATTTTTTTTGCCCAAGGTGGGTGAGGTAATAACTTTTATTGGACAACTTCTGTTGGTGAGAGAGACAAGCTTTTGAATCACACATATGCCCAATCACCCAGCTTTGTGAGATCCCTTTTTAACTCTTCACAGTCAGCTTTGGACTTAACTATTTTGAGTAATTTTGTATTGTCTGCAAACTTTTCCACCTCACTGTTTACCCCTTTTTCCAGATCATTTAGAAATATGCTGAACAGCACTGGTCTCAGTAAAGATCGTTTACCTCTCTCCACCATGAAAACTGACCATTTATTCCTAACCTTTGTTTCCTATCTTTTAACCAGTTACTGATCCATCAGAGGACTCTCCCTCTTATCCCATGACTGCCTAGTTTGCTTAAGAGCCTTTGGTAAGGGACCTTATCAAAGGCTTTCTAAAAGTCCAAGTACACTATATCCACAGATCACCTTTGTCTACATGCTTGTTGTCATCCTCAAAGAATTCTAATAGATTGGGGAGGCACGATTTCCCTTTACAAAAACTGTGTTGACTCTTCGCCAACTTATCGTGTTCATCTAGGTGTCTGATAATTGTGTTCTTTACTACTGTTTCAACCAATATTCCTGGTACTGAAGTTAGGTTTACTGGCCTGTAATTGCCAGGATTGCCTCTTGAGCCTTTTTTTTAAAAATGAGCATTACATTAGCTATCCTCCAGTTGTCTGGTACAGAGGCTGAGTTTACAGATAGGTTACATTGCACAATTAGTAACTCTGCAGTTTCATATTAGAGTTCCTTCAGAACTTAGGTGAATACCATCTGGTCCTGGTGACTTATTACAGTTTAATTTATCAATTTGTTCCTAAACCTCCTCTACTGACACTTCAATCTAGGACAGGTCCTCAGATAAATCATCTAAAAAGAATGGCTGAGATGTGGGAATCTCCCTCATATTATTTGCAGTGAAGACAGATGCAAAGAAGTCTTTAGCTTCTCCACAATGGCCTTGTCTTACTTGAATGCTCCTTCAGCATCTCAATCATCCAGTGACCCCACTGATTGTTTGACAGGCTTCCTGCTTCTGATGTACTTAAAAAAAATTGCTGTTAGTTTTTGTGTCCATCCAGAACGCATCCTCAGGGAAAAAGGAAAGGTGTCTTCCCAAAAAACAGACATGAGCTTTCCGCTTTTCCAGGCAAAAAGGACCATGCTGATACCCTGAACTTGTATGCTGCATTCACACAGCTTTACCATTAGTTCAACACATGTGCAAGAATTTTACATAAAAGAAACTGTCAGAAACTATGTCTTAAATAATATGAACTACACTAAGGGATATGCTCTTTACAATACATCCATGTCACTCCTTAATGGGAGTTGCATGAGAGTATTAGAACGAAAAGTACAATGAACTGTATTTAATGTTAGAGAAGTAGATATTGTTATAAGAAAATGTAAAAAGGGAACTTTTCTGCTTTCTCTGTGTGTTGCTGACATAGCTTTCAAGGGTTGTAAAGAAATCAGAAAGCTGGTTTGCATCCTATCTACAGTGGATTCTTGGTCTGTGTAGATAACTGGGAAAAGTGAAAAAACAATGTGTATTTTTTCTAGATAGATACAAGCAAGACAGATTAGGAAGGATAAACACTGACTGGACAGAACTAGTCAGCAACTACAAGGCCATAACAAAAAGATATGTAACAATACAACAACAGTTGAAAGAAATAATGAATACATGAAAGTAATAGTTAAATAAAAGATAGCTAAGGAGGTACCTGTTACTCTTTTATTTATTCTGCTAAAACTATATTAGAAAACATATTTAGAATGGAATGTTTGCAGATCAGGTAGTTTAAATAATTTGTGCCCATGCAATGTTACAGGACAAGGTATAAAGAATGTGTGTTTAACAACGGGAGGTGGAGCAATGCAGGACTTATACCAGATTGGACCAGATGCCAGAAATACCTAGCCCTGGGGCATAGGTAGGCTAACTTATCATTACATTATCCTTCTCTATCTACTTTACTTATGCTTTATGCTTGATTAAGGTGGTAATATATTGTCCTAACATTTTACTATTAAAGCGTTAAACTAGTTAAGCTTAGTAACTGATAAGGACAGTGCTTTTCACCCAACAGTATAAAGGAAAGAATAAAACCCTTTAATGACATGATCTTCCAAAATTCAACCAGTTATATTACCTTCAAACATGTCTGGAGGAGACTGGAAGCCATTAGTCATGGATGTCAGTGCCCTAGCCAGAAGAGAAGGAGCCTTCCTTACAGTACACCATCTGTAGACATGAAAGGAATTAAGCATCATTCAAAATTACTGCAGTGAAAACAAATGAGAAAGGTACACACTACTTCAGAGACTCATTTAATCATTTTCATAGAAGTAATCATTTTCATAGAAGTTTTTTTTCAGAAGCAACGCAATAGTTTAAACATATTATAGGTGGAGTTGGCTAAATTGCAAATTGACATGTGCCGAGAATTAGTAAAAGAGACAAGTTTGCATTACTTGTATGGTAAAAATATTTTGAGGAGTAGGGGGGAAAAGTAAAGCCAAATCAGGTATGTTGTTTCCCCACAGAAAGAACTGTTGAATTTTTCATAACATTGTTTGGAAGAAGTTGTCAATGAAGCATATAAACAGTGGCCAAGATTTTCAGAAGTGCCTCATGAGTTTAGGTTCCCAATCTGAGGCACCTTAAAGGGGCTTGGTCAGCGGAGACTGCAGTTGGAAGTTAGGAGCCTACATACCTTGGTGGATCTGGGCCTTAATGTTTCTGTGCCTCAATTTATCCATTTGTAAAATAGGTATAGCAACACTTCTAAATCATTTTGGGATTCTTGGACGTACCTAATGTTTTTACTAAAGTGAACATGAGTTTAAATCATTTAAGGTAACATTAATAGGGAAAATGTAAAATTCACTGAAATAAAGGTTTTGTTTTATCGCAGTAAGACGCTAGTTTTAATTTGGAAAAGTAAAACAAACAACAAAGGAGGCTTATTGATATTAGTGAAAAAGCTATGTCATTTCAGGTCACTGTCTCACAGAGTGCAAGTTCCTTAACATTAGGGTGGATGCTCAGCACTGAAATCAACTGAAGTTAGGAGTCTAAATACCTTTGAGGATCTGGGCTTAAATGACTTCCTTAAGGTTACATACTGAGTCAGCACCAAAGTTGCTAGATTTTTTGAGTCCTGACTTCAAATTTCATAGTTTGTTCAACGAAGCAACATTGCGTTTTCTGATAAGATACACTGTTATTGATTTGTATTTGCATGTTCCCCATATTAATCTCAATAGGCCAGATAGTCCCTAAACAATCAGAGAATATCAGGGTTGGAAGGAACCTCAGGAGGTCATCAAGTCCAATGCCCTGCTCAAAGCAGGACCAATCCCCAACTAAATCATCCCAGCCAGGGCTTCGTCAAGCCTGACCTTAAAAACTTCTAAGGAAGAAGATTCCACCACCTCCCTATGTAACCCGTTCCAGTGCTTCACCACCCTCCTAGTGAAAAAGTTTTCCCTAATATCCAACCTAAACCTCCCCCACTGCCACTTAAGACCATTACTCCTTGTTCTGTCTGGTAAAATTTTCACAGCAATCCCCCATATTGTCCTGTCAAGGAACAGGGTTTGCCTGTCCCTCAACCTCCTGCAGAAATGGCCAGAGGGTTCACCTCAAAAACGGGTAGGTCTTCAGCATGTATAATAGGGCAGGGCTGTCTACATAAAGATCATGTATCGCCACACCACTATGGACCCTGCACCTCTCTAGCTGATTTAACTAACAGGACAGTAAAAACACTAGAACAATGGTCCCCAAACTGTGGAGCGTGCCCTCCGGGGGGGGGGGGGGCGGAGGGAGCACTACCCAGTTCCACTCTGCCCCCAGCTCTTTTCCGGCCCAACCCCCAGCTGTGGCCCCGGGTCCTGGCTGCAGCTCTGCACCCAGCCACTGCCCCGGCTGCTGGCCCCAGTTGATGCCCCAGCCTTGGCCCCTGGCTCCCAGCCAGGCTGCAGCCCCAGCCTCAGCCCCTGGCCACAACCGTGGCCCCAGCTCCCAACCAAGCTCCCAGGGGGCATGGACATGGGTAAGGGGGGGGGCAAGACATAAAAGGGTTGGGGACCACTGCACTAAATCTCATCTGCACTAGGAATTGCCGCAGTGGTAATGGTGGAAACTTTATTTTAACATCCCCTACTGCAGACACAGCCTTTGACTCCAACAGACACTTTTATTAGCAGAGCCCCCAGGTGATATGTTGCTTAACTCAGTTCACATTCCTATAGGATTTTAAAATACAATGGCAAGTACTTTAGGAGGAAAAAATGTTTTAACATTTAAGACCATATTCTGGCCTCACTGACACTCTGTACAGGCTCAGCCCATTGGCATCAATAGAGTTGCACAGGGTATAAATTAGGGCAGAATTTAGCCCCAAGCATTACTAGAAAAGGGTTCAAAATCTGCCTGTTTGGTTTGTTTGCATTTCAGTTCAAACAGCTTGCTTGGATTTAAACATTCCTCTACAGTGTTTTCAACTCAAGTAGTACAGCTTTATGATAGTCCAGAACTGCAAAATTAAGTTAAATACTGAAAACGACAGTACAACTCTTCAATTTTCATTATCTAAGATGAGTGAAATGCAAAAAAAAAAAAAAAAAAAAAAAGAAATTAGCATTAATGGCAAAAAAATGGATTTTTCCAGCTGAATTATTTAATGAATGATTTGTAAAGCAGCTAATTTAATATCTATGTAGCCTGATTCTTCACTGCCTTGCACACTGTGTAGTTATCTGTAAAACGCTGCCGAATCACAGTGCAAGAATCAGGTCTGTGTATTGTAACCGGATAGTGCCCATCTACAGCGTGAAGCTCGTTAGTGCGTGGCTGGGGTTTTGACAGCCTATCCGTGCAGCCCTGGCAGCGGAGCCGACGATAATGTTGCATCTGGAACTTACAAATTGGGGGGGGATGAAATTTACTTCGTGATTTTTTCACATGAAGCAGCGTCGGGCAGGCGCGAGCCCTGGGGACCGGAGACCAGTGACCGCCCCCCGCACAGGCCAGACACGGCACCACCAGGCGGGCGCAGGAGCGCGCCCGAATCGGGCCAGTGCGCAGGCAAAGGCGGCTCCCTGGGCAGTCCCGTTACCCGCCTCCGGCCCTCGGGCTCCGGCGCCAGCGCCGCGAACGGGCCGACGGTGCCCCGCAAAACAGAGCGGAAGCCGGGGGCTCCCTACGGGCACCCAGGGGCCAGCGAGCGGCTGCTGCTCCCCAGGCGGCACAACGGCTCCGCCCGGCCCATGGCTGCCCTGGGGGCACCGGCCGCGCTCGGTCCCCTGCCGAGCCCCGGGGCGGGGGCAGCGGCCTGTGGCCCTGGAGCAGCTCGTCCCCCGGCCCGGCCCGGCCACTCACCTGAGCGCCAGCATCCTGCCCCCGAGCGCCGAGAACCGCCGCCCCGCGGCGAGAACTCAGTCCTCCAGCACCATAGACACGCAGCCACGCCCCGGCGCAGAGAGCCGCCGAATCCTTTTTTCTATCTATGGTTCCTTCCGTCTGTCCCCCACCCCTCCGTGCCTACGTGGTTCCTTCCATCCCGCCTGACGCTGTGCCCTGGCCTCTGGTCCGCTGTGCCTGGCTGCCGCGCGCGCGGCACGCGCTGAGCTCTGCGCTGGCCGCCGGTTTCCCTGCACGTGCCCTTCAGACTCCTCTCCTGTGCCTCGAAGGCTCTGCCCCGGCTGCCACCTGCATCCTCCCCCAGCTCGCCGTGCCCTGCCTTGGTGTCACTGTTAACCCTGCTCCTACAATAGAGCCTGCCTCCAGTGAGCCCTGCATCCTCCCGCCCTCTGTGCTTCAGCACGCACTTAACGAGCTCATCTGGGGCTAGCAACAGCGGAAGGGCCGTACTGAGTTAGACCAGTGGTCCCTCTAGCCTAGCATGGTGTGTAGCAGCAGCTGGTGCCAGGTGGGAAAGTTATTTACGTGTTCCCATAATATAATAACTAGGGGCCACAAAATGAAAATAATGGGCAGCAGGTTTAAAATAAATGAAAGGAAGTTCTTCACACAGCGCACAGTCAACCTGTGGAACTCCTTGCCTGAGGAGCTTGTGAAGGCTAGGACTATAACAGGGTTTAAAAGAGAACTAGATAAATTCATGGAGGTTAAGTCCATTAATGGCTATTAGCCAGGATCACAGGCGCCAACTTTTGTTGGCACCGGTGGATACTCGCACCCCCCCCATGGCCCCTACTCCGCCCCTCCCTGCCCCATTGGATCGCTCCCCAAATCCCCTCCCTGGCCCCATGCCCCCCCACAACCCTGCCCCATTGGATCCTTCCCCAAATCCCTGCCTCTTCCCCAAGCGCACCGCATTCCTCCTCCCCCCTCCCTCCCAGGCTTGCGCGAAACACCTGTTTCTTGGCGCAAGCGCTGGGAGGGAGGGGGGAGAAATAGGACGCAACAGCCCGCTCAGGGGACGAGGCGGAGGTAAGCTGGAGCGGGGGGGGGCGGTTCGGGGAGCTGCCGGTGGGTGCTCCGCACCCACCAATTTTGCCCTGTGGGTGCTCCAGCCCCAGAGCATCCACGGAGTTGGCACCTATGGCCAGGATGGGTAAGGAATGGTGTCTCTAGCCTCTGTTTGTCAGAGGCTGGAGATGGATGGCAGGAGAGAACATAAGAATGACCATACTGGGTCAGACCAAGGGTCCATCCAGCCCAGCACTGTCGGCAGACAGACTGCTGGGCTGGATGGACCTTTGGTCTGACCCAGTATGGCCATTCTTATGTTCTTATGTGCTTCAGAGGGAATGAACAGAACAGGGCAATTATCAAGCAATCCATCTGCTGTTGTCCACTCCCACCTTCCAGCAGTTGGAAGTTTAAGGATGCCTAGAGCGTAGGGTTACGTCTCTGGCCATCTTTTGGCTAATAGCCACCCCTGAACCTATTCTGCAGTCATGAGTACAGTGTAGCTGTACAGAACTGGGTGCCAAGTGTGAAAACATATGGCCCCTCATGACAAATGGGAGGTGGTGGGAGAGCCAGAAATCCTGACTGGTTAGTGCAGATTCTGTATGTGTCTGTGCATGGCTACACATCCATATGTGTTTTGAATAAATTGTTAGCTTCCGTCTATCCTGGGTTCTCTGTAAATTGTGTTTTCTTCAAACTGGCCAAACCTTCCTGTTGAGAAATAGCTAAGGTGGATGCTTGCATTGCATCTTGCCTCAGTCATTTAAACTGAGCACACCTAGTGACATCTGGTGCATGGAGCGTCAGATAGGATAAATGAAACTGAGGGGAGCAAAGCAGGTGTGTGTGGAGTGGGGGATTCATTCTTGCCTTCTGCTAAAAATTGGCTTCTTTTACTTGGAGCTCATCAAGGGGTTTTGTTTGTTTTGTCATCTGACCCCAGGGAAAGCAGTAACAGGTCACTGTTCAGAACAGGCACCATATCCTCTGATCCAGGGACCAGCTTCTTCAGTCCTTCAAGCAGGGCCGGCTCCAGGCACCAGCTTACCAAGCAGGTGCTTGGGGCGGCCACTTCGGAGAGGGGCGGCACGTCCAGCTGTTCAGCGGCAATTCAGCGGACGGCCCCTCACTCCTGCTCGGAGCGAAGGACCTCCCGCCAAATTGCCGCCGCAGATCGCGATCGCGGCTTTTTTGTTTTGTTTTGTTTTTGTTTGGCTGCTTGGGGCGGCCAAAACCCTGGAGCCGGCCCTGCCTTCAAGTTCAGGTGTTTCACATCTGGTTTATTTTTCTTGGTCCCCACAGCCACTCTTGGTAGAATTCCCATGCAATCTGCTTCTTTCTGGCTGATTTGTAACCGCCCTGTCCTTCCAACCGCCTGTTTCCCACGCGCACCTCCCCCCTTTTGTTTTATTTAAGACTCAGGCAGGGTTGTAGAACCTTCTGAGCAGGGCCAGTGCAAGGATATTTTGCGCCCTAGGCGAAACTTCCACCTTGCGCCCTCCCCCCCGCACATCAGTTCATTAAGGGGCAAATCCCAATGAGCCTTTATAGACCCCAGGGGCCAGCCGTGCCCAGGGGCTGCTCCCCAGACCAGGTTCCCCCCTCCCCACCCCCTGATCTCCCCTGGAGGGTGCACAGTCCTCCCGTGAGCCCTCCCCACCCCACCCTGGCAACCCCCACCCCGAGTCCACTCACTGGCTTTGCCAGGCTTGGGCCGCTGCAGCAGCTCGGCAGGGAGGAGCTGCCTTCTGGGGGCTCCTGCAGCAGATGCATGTGGGCAGAGGCCCCCATGTGCCCCCCCCCGGAGTCCCCTTTGCCGCGCTCAGGCTCTGCGGCTCCTGGGAGTGTGAGCTGCCACCGCTGCCCCTCCCAGAGCAGGCTCAGGGCCCCGCGCCCCAGCGGCGGCTCACATGCCCGGGAGACGCAGAGCCCGAGCGTGGCAAGGGGGGAGCTGGGGGCGCACCGGGGCCTCTGCCCGCATGCATCTGCTGCAGCTTGGGCAGGAGGGGCGGGGGGCACGGCTGCTCCCCGCTAGCGGCACCGCCGCCTTTGCAGGGCTCCTGCCCCCCTGCGCCGCGCCAGCTCCTCCATGGCTGGGGCTCGCCGCCCCTGCAAGCCTATGCTCTGGCTCTCCGATGCCTCCGGAAGGCGGCTCCTCCCTGCCAAGCTAGGGCACCACTTTTTAGCGCCCCCAGGGCCGTCCTTAGGATTTATGGGGCCCTATGTAGTATTATTAAACTGGTGCGCCTATGCCCGACGGCAGCCTGAGATTGCAGCCCGGCGGGGGCGGGGGTGGAGGGACAAGGCAGAAAGAATAACAAGATGCCCGGCCCGCCTCACGGTGGCGGAGAGTCACAGTTCCCCGCAGAGACCCCTGTACCCTCTCCCTCATGCAGAATGGACATGCAGAAGGTACCTAATTAAAAGCACTAAACTTGGGAATAAAAAATGTCAGTCACAGGTTTTTTGATATGTCCTGAAGTTTGTCAGACATTTATTTGCAAAAACTTTGTAGTAAGGGTGAGTCAGCTGTCTTGCTGAATACAACATTAAATATTATGAAATACATGATGCAGCTCTTCTCTGTTTTACATTTTCTTAATCAGTATTTCTAAGCTGATTTTATATTTTAAATGTACTCTTAAGCCTTCATAAAGTAATCATTCCAGATTACTACATATTTAACTCACTGAAACAGACATTATTTTAAATTAATCAGTCACAGAGGTTTAGTGTGTTCATAACAATGTTCATTGCTTTTAGAAAAAGGGAACACTAATTTACTGTGTGTGATCTCCATAACAATACACATGTTTATGAAATTTCACCAACTTTAAAAAATATGTTTCCAAAGATTTTAGGCATAACAAAGGATTTTATATCTTACTAAGGTACTGATTTTGCGTAAAACTAGTTCATCAGATAGTCAGAAGTAAAGAAAGGGAAACTCTATGTCCAGCTATCTGGAAGCAAAGGGCTGTTGCTTCCTTCAATGGGGGGGGCGGGGGGGAAAGAGAGATGAAGGGAGAAATGGATGGACAGAAAGGACAGGAAGACTTTGGAAGTAAGTTTTTTTCTATAGTAATTAAAATGTGCATTTTAGATAAGGGTGGTCTTTTGAAGAATTTATTTAAAAAACCATATGTCTGAAGATCCAAGCATTTAAGGCTAAAGATGATTGTGCATCTAAAAATCTATGCAAGGATTTTTTTAGAGATGTGATTTTATAATATTCACCAACTCACTAATGAAATATTTGTAAAGCAAATTTTAAACTAAGGTCCTGTAGACTGACATGTTCTGAGTAAATATTACAGTCATGCACAACTGTTTTTGTCAGTACATTCAGAAACTGACAGTAGATACCTAGGGGCTGGCAAATGCCTGTTAAATGGCTCTTTAACAGTTTCAGTGTTGTGCTAATAGGTCTGGCAGGCTGGAGACTTTTTCTCTTTTAACTACTAGATCCCCTGCCCAGGAAGACTCAGAGCCTGCAGGAAGGGTCAGAACAGGGATAGGAAAACCAGGAGGGTGGACACTAAGACCCAGTGGTGCCCCAAATTTTCAGGTGCCCTACCCAGCTGCCTATGCCTGAGGACAGCCGGTCGCCCCCCAACCACTTGCCACCCTAGGCCACTGCCTAGTTCGCCTAGTGGTAGCACCGGCCCTGCTTCTGAGGCATGCCTCCAAAATCTCAAGAGATTTGGTGGCATTGCATCCATGGGTATCAAAGCCACAGATGACTTATAAACAACTGAAGGAGAATATATGATGCAACCATGTATCATTATGGGTGGATGTTTGTCATTGCTAATGTGAAAATCATGGAGTCCAGGGTTTTTCATCGCTTGTTTTACAAATATCAGCAACTTTTGATAACTGGGGATTTGTTAATCTTTTTTAATTCCATAGAGTTTTGAGAAGGAAATAGAAACATGTATGTATAATTGAACACAATCTCACCATTTCACTTAAAATCGGGGTTTGCTTCAATTGCACTCCTCACTCCATCTGGAAACAGAAGGATATTTGTTTTCACCAATCTTCTGTTTGA